TCCTCTCTCCCCCAGCTGCCCCCGTAGTGGAAACCAACCGAGCAACAGGCTCGCCCATCCCGGGACCGAGCTGGACGGGCTCCACCACTGATTCAGCCAGGCTGCTGCTATGTTCTTGCCACCACCTGCAAAGCTCGTCGGCGAGAGGATAATTGCTGTTTGCATGACGGAGTGGGAGGTGCCTGTGGCTGCTTAAAACCCTTTTTTACAGGCATGATTTTAAGGCTGACGTCAACCGAGCGCTCGCCCCTCGGTGCTCCTGGAGGTCACACAAGGTTGGATCTTAAAGCACAGGAGCTGCACCCTGCTGTGCCTTCTGGGAAAGGGTGGAAGAAAACAGATTGGCTGGGAATTTTGCAGCTGCACCCTTTACTGAAAAACATCTGACAGGAAAGAACAGCCAGAGGAGCCACACCGAACGCGAGAGGCTGAACCTAAAGCTGTCATTGAGTGAAATAGTGCCCTGGTGAAGAGTCAAAGGAACCCTTGCGAGGGATCTCCTGGCTTTCTGGGATGTTCCTCACCGATTTCGGGCCACTGCATCACAGAACCCTTTTTTTTTCATCCTGCTCCCAGGTGGTCAGGTGGTCAGCACAGCAGCCACCACATCCAGGCCAGCTTTCCCCACACTTGCAAACACGACTTTACCCCCTTTAAATTTAGCAAATACACAAGACAGATTCCTGGCTGTCATGAAGGAGGGTCCATCAATTCCATCCCGAGTGAGCCTGCAGGAAAGGGACCTCCTTGTTTAGTGATTTACCTTATTTTAGCCGTTTTTTCAGCACCCACAAGGAAAGCCAGGTTCTCTAGAGGCTGGCTCCCAGCAGCACGAAGTAAAGCCAGAGGAATACTAAAGATGGGGGGAGGTACCTAAAGTTTGGGGCCTCTGCCAGCTGATTTCCTTGCTCTTCAATGGAAGATAAAGTATTCAAGCCTAAACTCTTAATCTAACACAGAATGGTCATTAACAACTCTGCCCTGTGGGTTTGGTCATCATCATCATCATCATCACACTCTGTGTTGCTCAACCGGCCCATGGGAAAATTTGCTACTGGTTTCCAGTGTACTTTGGACTTACTGCTGGTTTCCAGGTCAGCTCCTAGACCTGTTCTTCATGCCCAGGACCTGCAGGATTATCAGCCGTGGCCACCTCGCCTTGCAATGAAGTGGCACAGACAGCTCCTACCACACCCTCGACTTCCTCACATGCTCACCAGCGCCTACGCCCTCTGATGCATAAGGCACAAAGTATTCCTCTGCGCAGAGTCCAAGTTTGCAGAAGGCCAGGGAACGAGGGTGGAGAAGGAATTACACCAGGGCTTTCACGGGGAGGGGAAAAACCCTCCGCAGCCTCAACTTTCTGTATGCTGAGTCTGAACAGAAAGGTGTTTTCCTCCAAGTTGAGCAATTCCCTCCCCTGTTCCCTGCTGCGTGAGGGACCTGTACGGAACTGACTGCTGCTCCTCTCCATCGCCCCATAGAGCAGCCTGCTGTAGGTGACCCTGCTTCGGCAGGAGGGTTGGACTAGATGACCCAACAGAGGTCCCTTCCAACCCCTACCATTCTGTGATTCTGTAACTCTTGGGTTACAAGATCCCCAAGGCCTGATGATCTCCTGAGTCTCAACTTTCCACATCAGGTTCCTCCCCGCTCTGTCCATCCTCAGACACCAGTCCCAACTCCCTGTGAAGCCACAGCAGCTTTTTGGAGCCTCACAAGCTTTTTTCCCCCCCCCTCACTCAAGGCAGAAGACAATGGCAGGCAGACACCAAGAGGAAAGGGATCACCCAAAACAAGGTGATGCACCAAGCACAAATCTCATTTTCCTTCCTGGCCAGCATCCCCAGCCTGCCAGCGCTCTTCCAGTTGATGTTGGGAAGCCCCACAGAATTAAGCAGCCCTGCTGAGACCACGGGGTGACCCTCTGATGCTCTTCAGGGAGGAAAGGGGGAACAAAAACAACTTCTCTCAGCTGCAGACTGTCCAAAACGCACGAGAAGTAAACCACGCTTCAGCCCCGCTGACCCCCTGCTGCATCAGACCAGCTCCGAGGCAGTAACGACCTCCCAGGAGATGGAAAGATTGCGAGGCAGGGAAGTCATCCCAGGAAAGGCAGGAACAGACGGAAGACTCCGGTTTCGATGCTCACAAGTTCCAACAGCACCCACACGCTGGCGTGCCCCCGAGCAGGGACACGCCAAGCACCCTCCAGCCTCACCTCCTCCGCTGCTCCCCTCCCCTGCTGAGCCCCGCTCTTGCCATCGCAGCTCCACCAG